TTTCGTATTTGGTCGCTGGGAGAGGGGGGTCGTATTTGGCTGAGAAAAATTCATTTTGATAGTTGATTTCTCTTGTTTAACGGACGTTGTAAAGGAGGGGGAGCGTATTTCCCTTCTGAGAGAGGTTGCTGACTTTCCGTGGTTTTTCATGTTTGTCCACAGTATACCCAGCCCCGGTCGACAGCAGAACTTTGATTGAAAGTAGGAAAACTTTCGGGAAGTTTCAGAAAAAGTGGTAGGAAGTTTGGGTTGATGGTAGAGAGGGGGTCGTGTTCCTCCTTCCGCTCGACAGCTCGATGAGGAGGAAACCAGTGGGGTCGTACCAAAGCCTAGAAGGAAGGGGGAGGTCGTACGGACTCGACCAAAATCCCCAACTAATGATGTGCCCTGACTCAGATAATCCGTAGGTAACGGGAGATCCCACTGCAAAGGATAGGTCAGTTAAAGCTCAGGATCGCCGTGCAATATATGTAGCAGTACTTGGTATTCTGGAATAGTTACCTATTCACTGCAACCTTGCCCCCCCCCACGTGGTCTTGCTCAACCCTTCAGCTGCCCCTCACCTACGGGTACCTTGACGTTTCGCGACACCAAGTCTGCTAAAAGCCTTATCCTCCGGTGCGAACGCTCAAATGAATCAGACAAACGACGCCGTTCTGACTGTCCGTCAACGCTTGCGATGAGGAAATCTCACGTTCCGCGCGGGGGTTCAAAACCACCAACGGATGAATGACGTCCTTCATAATGAAATGGTTTACACAGTAGTCCGCACGTCGCCACACCGTTGTCCGCTCATCACAAATCCTTCCTTACGTCAGTGCGCACGGAGATGGCGCAGAGAAGCGCCGGAAGTCTACCGGAAAGGGTTTTGTATCATGAAAAACGTCGTTGTGTCAACCGATGGGCGTCTCCAAAAGTTAATGTGAAACCGCGGAACTTTTTTCCGCCGTCAAATGCTGCGTCGTCGCCCACGTCCCGCCCCGTTTGATATTGACCTCGTTCTGATGGTTCCCATCGCCCCGAACTGTCTCTCCTTCCACCCCCGCCCACCCCCTCATCCAAGCCCTCCTCTGATCCTGCCCATCGTCCACACACTCGGCCGTCGCCACCGCCGCGTTCCTACTTCTGCTGCACCTCATTCACCGCCTTCGCGCTCCGCGTTTCTTTTCGGTTTTCATCGCCGTCGCTCCGTTCGTTGCTATCGATTGGGATCATTGTCTATCATCCTCTGCTGTGACAGCTACATTGATTTCTTAGTGCATGTTTCATGATTTCCGCATGACTTCTTCCCCACTGATTATCGCGATCACATCTCTTGTAGTTCAGCCGTAAAAACCTTCCCTAACCAGTTCAGTACTTGTAGATGGTTGCGAGTGGACACACCAAAAGATCAAGTGAGGGCGAAATAGTAGCCGGAACCAGAAACGTCTGCCACTTTAAACTTTAAAAAGTTGTAGTTCTCAATGAGAAAGTCGGTCAGAACCCTTCCACTTTTTCTGCGTCGGCCCTCTCCGACAAAGGAGACAGTTACTGCCGCGAGTGCACATTTCAGCGTTTCTTACTCTAGCTCCGTCTTTTCTGAATTAGCGGCGCCCGCTGATTCGCTAGTTTTTTTGGACCAATTTTAATTGTGTAATTAATAACAGATACTCATGGTGGTGTTGATAAATGATTCGTTATGTTCGCAAAGATTTTCTGTCGTGATGTATTGACTATCGTCTTCCGGTGCTTTTTCCGGCGCCGACACTGCTCTCTCTTCCCAAAAGCCATCAACGGAACGTTTCGCTCTGTCTCAATGACGATCTGTTCCAACCAGTGCACAACACCAATGGGGATTCCCTTCCAGCGGGGGATTGTTTTCTAGTCATTTGCAAGTGGGGTTGCACTTGGGGAACGTTCCCCTTTGCGACACACTCGTATATTCGAAATCCCTGAGATCGGGTAGGCGTGGCGCATGTTCCAACTTAACCTGAAGGTGTCTATGCTTCTGGTGAGATATTTTCATCTTGACACAATTGTTGTCGTGTCTCTGTCCAACATAGAACAAGATGACAGTTGTCCCAGATTGACGTATTCCACGAATAACCAATTCCGTGCCATGTTCAAATAACACGCCTACTCTGGTTCAGGGATAAGGAGCATACAAACCCACAGTCGCTAAATAACTCTCCAGGGAAGGAAAATGCGGAAAAAAAGATTACCCTATGTA